AAGTATATATTTTAATTAAAAATTACTTTATTGCTAAACAATGCCAAAAACAACTGTAACAGTAATATCAAAGAGCACCAACACCCATAACAAATACAATAAAAAGTTTGAAATATTGCAAGAATTAGCAAAATGAGACAGAGAGACAAAGTGAGTAAATGCTGTTAGGAAAATGATGCTGACAGACTTGCTTGATGCAAGGTTGTCACAAACCTTAAACTTGCAAAAATGCATTATCTGCACAGTGCAATCCTGTGCTATGCTTAGTGGCTCAGTCGTGTCTGACTCTTTGCGACCCCATGGACTGTAGCCCACCAGGCTCCTCTGTCCATGGAGATTCTCTAGGCAAGAATACTAGAGTGGGTTGCCATGCCCTCCTCCAGGGTATCTTCCCAACCCAGGGATCGAACCCAGGTCTCCTGCATTGCAGGTGGATTCTTTACCATCTGAGCCATCAGGGGAAGCCCCACACAATAAAGGGCAAGTATGCCTATATATATTTTTAGCTATGTAATTTTATATATTTTAAAGGTTATTAGATTACCATATAGTCATAATGTTTCCAACCGAATTCCAGTACACTGTATTTATATAAATATTTTTCCTACAAAACCTTAAATTCTCTTAATATATATATCACTTAAAAATAACTGCTAACATAGCAATTGCTATACACTATTATAAGTGCTTTGTAAACATTAACTAATTTAATCCTCATATCAACCCTACAAAGTATAAAGTACTCTTAGTTCCTTATGCTATAAGAGTATAGGTGAGTACAGGGTAAGTGATGAAAGTGAATTTGAATGAAATCAAAATGAACCTTGACCAAGAGAAGACAGCTGTGAAGATTTGAACCTAGGTAGTCTGGCTCTACAGTCTGTTCTTGATCACTATGTTAAACTGACACTAAAAAAATGTGCCACCCCACCCCCAATTTTCTAGAATATGTCTTATGCACCTTCAAGTATCATGTGCTGACAATAAAAAATAATGGAAGAAACAGGTTCTGAACTCAGATTAGTTTAGCTTCCCAGGCTCAGTGTTCTTAAAAACCAGGCTGTCCTTGCCTCTCTCAAGTACACTAGGCCATACAGAGACACTGGGATTACAGGCATCAACCAGGACTTACCCAAGCAAACCAGGACATACTGTAACCACAGTTAACACCATGCTTCTCTATTCCTGAATTATATAATCTCTTTCCTGTTAACAATTCCTGCCTGGACAAATCTTTGACAAATAAAGCTACTCATAAATGCTAGTTAGTTAAGGAGAAAATTTAGTTTCTAAGTGCCAGATGTTTAAAAATTTCAGGAGAATTAGATACCTTGGTATTTAGTACTGATAGTAAATCCTTCAAACACTGTCATGAATTTAAAAATAAATAACACAGAATATTATGATGATTTGAACTTACTTCTCTAGTTGAGGATTTGTGTAGAGAATATACTGCTGTTCTCGCCATTTCCAAAGCAGTCTTCAGAAATGCCATATCTGTCCCTGTTAAAAGTAGAAAAAACTGTTATCAAAATAGAAGATTAAAGGAATACTGGGGATTTGGAAACATTTTTTTTCAAACTCCAAAATAGCTGTTTCAAATTCTTTCTGTAACAAGACAGGGTACAAATATCTAAGATGTCTAAATATCTTTTAAGGTTGATGGAATAAAATCAGAATTATACTGTCTCATTTAAATGAGGCTAAAGTAAAAATTTTAATATATTCCAAATTAACAACTTTCAATGAGGGCAGAAGAGAACAGGTAAAGTAGTAATGAGAATGGTGGGGGCAGGCGGAGGGAGGGCTTTTTAAACTATGCATGTCTTTTCCTCTTGTTACTCACTCCCTACCCTCCTTGCCCACAAAACAGATAAAATAAATAGCCACAGTAAGTCATTGTTACTGAAATCTTTGAATGTTGAGGCATTAAAAAGAGGTTTTAAAAGTATAAAACACTTTATAAGAAATCTTCAAAACAGGTAAATCATTCTAGGAATCAGATGAAGAATAAATAATAAGTGAATAAATTTGTTCACTTAGCACAAATTTATGAAAACAAAGATTGAAAAATTCAGTTCTTTAGTCATGCATTAAACAGAGATTGAAATTGTAATAATTACACAGGTAAGAGACTGGTTTATTTAATGAACAGTGATAAAGTCACTTAACCAAACAATCCAAGGAAAAAATGGTTTTTAAAACTTGCTTTTTTACAAAGATACCAGCACAGCTGATTCTTATTACTAACCTTTATTATTTTTGGTCCCAAAAGGAGGATTCATAATTACTGTATCAAATGATTTGGGCATTCTGTTAGATAATGAGCATACATCACATTGAACCATATCTACATTTGTTAACTCAAACTCTTCTACATTCCTATTAAATATTTCCAATGCATCTTCATCTATGTCAAATCCAACACACAACCTATAAATATAAAACACAAAGTAAATACTTATAGAACCTAAATCAAAACAACAAAACCAAAACCATGTACCATTTTAACCCAACTGGCCAAGTGACAGTGAGTGATGCCTTTCAACAGCATGATTTCCTAAACTGTCAGGGGTTGGAAACTCAGGTTCATCTAAAATATAGGCTTCTAATTGCTGCTGTTACCATTTTTTGTTTTTTTTTAAGTTTGTTTTGATGTTCTGCCCATTCAAAATGTACTCAGTATTGGATTCTTCTTCCTCTCATCATGTACTGTAGAGTCTCATAAATATAATTCAGTTGATTTTATTTACTCTTATTAAAACTACCCCATACTAAAATAGAAATACAGTGGATCACATACCCTGCTCCTAGCATTGCAGTTCCAATGCTAAGCACTCCACAGCCACATCCTAGATCTGCAACCACTTTATTTTCAATATCATCATATGTATTATGGATTGTATAGAGCATACATGCTGAAAGATCAAAAAATATAGTAAGGAGTAAGTAGGCAAGTGGATGACCAAAAATCCAATTTGTGCAAATGACCCTTTATACAACAATTTCTCCTCTTGCATTATTAAGTTCTCCCCCAAATTCGTGTTCCAGGTTTAAAAATAATAACATATAATTAAATTTTCTTTACACAAATCCTCAACTGGAGAAGAAAGTTCAAGTCATCATAATATTCTGTGTTATTAAGCTAGAATAGGAAAGGAAAAGACCTACATCCACAATATAGCCTTTATACACAAATATTCACACACATATACTTATGATCTACAGAAACAATATCTACTAATGAAATCTGATAAGAGAACTATTGAGGAGCAGAACAGAGGCTGCTGAGATGGCAAAGGGATCTTTTAAATACACGAAGGTGGGGAATATATGGAGGTTAAGCATGAATAATATCCACTGACACCTCCCTGCCTATCTCTGAACCTACCAAAGGTTGCTGGCCATCACTGATGCCCCAGGATCCAGAGGTTTTATCAAAACACACAATGACCGGGATGTCTCAGACTGACTGTGCTGCTGATTACTGCTGCGCGTGTTAATCTCTAGAGATAGTATCTCAAAGAACTAGCACAACTATGTGTATGTTTACACAGTGGGTTTCAAGCAACTGATTCTTATTTGGGGGAAAAAAAACTATTTCACTACAGCCAGAAGACATTAAAGAAATCATTATCTACACTGGGAAAACTGGTCTTACCCCAGATACAATTTTGTGCAACTTTTGATTGGAATTATGATAAATATGTTGGAGTGAAGTGCGGGTACACCCCTTTCCCCCTGACTTTCTTTAGCAGCTTAGAAACAGAACTATGTTGAAGTTAAGGGGACTCCTCCCGGCTGGTGCTCCCAACAACTTAATCTTCCAAAGACTCTCCCAATGACTTTGGTAATATGTTTATTAATATAATGGTTTTTCCTGTGTTCACTTCCAGTACTAACCTTTATTAAGCAACATTACTGATTCTCAGATCATTTGTTAAAACTGAAATGCATCCTCATTTTTAATATTGCACCTATTTTGAATTTGTTAGAACTCAAGTCTTTCTACTACCAACTTTAGTATTCATTTCTAGGGCAGAGTATAGCGCGCAGGAATTCTTGCCCTGGCAAATTCGTTGCACTAGGAAACTGATCCTAATTTAGCAAATATTTACTGAGCTCCTAAGTAGTATAAGGAACTCTAGATACTGGGAATTGTGTGAACAAAACCAGCACATTTTTGCCCTCCTAATTGTGAAATGAGATTAATAAACACATTAAAAAGATGTCTAACAGTATTAAGGGGTATGCAGAAAACCAAACAGTAGAACGACAGCGTGTCCTGTGTGGGGGATGTTTTCAGCTGCAGTGTTAAGGAAGTTCTCTCCCACGCAACGTGAAACCCCACGCAACGTGAAACCTTAGAGCGAAATTACTCTAGACATTCTTGTATCCAAATAATTGTCTTATTTTCGTTATAAGAAAGAGTTGACAGGCCTAACCCGCAAAACAAGGGCGTGATCAGTAGCCGCCCTACCTGCAATGTGCGGCCTGGTTGGATACTGTTCTAGAAGGAGCTTGGGCTTTTCGAATCCATCCACTTGTTGCAGGCGACTCTCTAGTTCCTTAAGCCTTAATTTCTTCATTTTTAAAAAAGTGTGCGCAGGGTTTAAAGGCGCTGGATCTGTAGAGAAACCTACTTCGCCTGCATCTCCCCACCAACCCCTATCCCCCGTATCTTTTTCAGCGCCGTTGGCTGAGGGCCAAGCTGAGGACACCCAGCCCAGGGGGTTCCCGCTCTTCTCCTAGCGCCAGCGGCGGATGGAGGCCGCGGCCAGGCTTCAACCCGCATACAAGGTATCCCGCACGGTTACACGACTGGGATCCACACGCCACGTTCCCGCAATTCCAGAAGCTGCTTCGCCTCTGCCCGGGCCGGAAGGGCCGCCACGCACGCGCACATGCGTCCGCCCCCCAGCGGCCCCGCGCCGAGCTGCAACAGCGGCCTCGCGCACGGGTTCCGCCGACACCGGAGCGCCGCCGCCGCCGCCAACTCGGTGGAGGCCGCGCCACAAGGAGTGCCCGCCCTTGTCGCAGCCTCGGGGCCGGCTCCCGCCGTCTCTCGAGTGGCCATTACCCTGTAGTTTTTCCTTGAGTACCGTCAGGCCCTTAAAGGAAGAAGGGAGAAAGAGGATGAAGGTGATGGTGAAAATCTCACTTTGTTTTAGCGCCACGGTGGCCCTTTCTGCGTTCTGTGTCCCAAGTTCCCGCTCAGAAATTAGCAACCTCCACTCACCGTTTCTTGCTTTGCTAGTCTCTTGTCCTACTTTGTTTCCCTCTTTTTAGGTCAATTGTGTCACTTCAGCTCTCACAGGGTGGTGATGTCAGAGAAGCCCAAACAAGAGAGGGTTTAGATTAAGGAATGGGAAGTGGTGTCAACTGCTGGAAAGAAATTAGGCTTTCATGGGGGTAGGAGCAGAAGCCAATTTGTAGGGAATTAGGGACTAAAGGAAGTAGGAAGAATAAATAGGAACAGTTTTTAAGAAAAGTGGCTGCAAGAAGAGTGAGAATGGTTGATGTTTAGTAAGGTTGCGGGAAGCTTTTTATTTTTAAATTGATGGGAGTATTCGTGAACATATCTAAATTCAGACAGAGTAGGAGTAGTTGTAATCCACACAGTCAAAGGCTTTGGCATAGTCAATAAAGCAGAAATAGATGTTTTTCTGGAACTCTCTTGCTTTTTCGATGATCCAGCGGATGTTGGCAATTTGATCTCTGGTTCCTCTGCCTTTTCTAAAACCAGCTTGAACATCTGGAAGTTCACGGTTCACATATTGCTGAAGCCTGGCTTGGAGAATTTTGAGCATTACTTTACTAGAGTGTGAGA